AGCATTTCGTTTCCTCATATAAATATCAAAGTAATCTATATGGTATAAGAGCTTTGTGCTTGATAGTGTCGTGTAACATTCGTAATCGGATGACGTAAGACGATCGACAAACGTTTAATTATCGATCTGCTAACATCTTAGTGAGTGAGTGAGTGAGTGAGTGAGTGAGCGAGCGAGTGACACATTTGCATATTCAGACCCCTCACAATAACTCGTTTCTACGCTTCGCGTATCCACGAGTTAAAAAAGGATCTAAATTTCAAGTTTATTTGAACAAATCAAGGTAAAATCATTCTTAGGAAGGCTGGCTCAAGCCCTGTTATCAGTATCACATCTGAGGTGGATCTTGCAAAGAAACTGTAGTTTGTCTACCTACAGATAAGTCTTCCTACTTATTATTTCAATATACTTTATGAATTTGTCTTAATTGAATGTACGCTCCTCAATTAGATAATGATAATAACAATAAATTTAATTCCTCTTATCAAACCTCAGGCCTTGATCCTGATATTCATTTACCATTGCAATCAAACTTTAAATATTATTCCACTGACGATTTCAAAAATAATTTTGAAATAGTCAACTGTCTTTCTAGTAACAAAAATTTCAAATTATACAAAAGAGGCTACTCTAATTTTGATGAATCAGCCTTTTTAGAAGATCTTGATTCTATCGAATGGAGTAATGAATTTTCTAGTTCAGAAACTGATCTCTATTTACTGCTTGAATAAAAAAATAGTTTTATAGGAAATTCATTTAAGCTAAATCTCTTTATTATCATAATAAATTCAAATACTATAGGAATAAATTAAATYACCTGCTCAAAATTAGTAAAGCAAAGTACTACAGTGATTATTTCTCTAAGAATCAATCAAACATAAGAAAGACTTGAAGCGGTATTAAAGAAATAATTGGCTTCAAGGAGGTAATAACAATTTGCCATCAAAAATTCTCAATCCTGATAATTCTGAGCTCACTGATGCAATACCTCAATAGCTGATGCTTTTAACTCTTTCTTTGTTAATATAGGTAGCTCTAAAGGTAATTCTGTTCTTTCTTCTGATATAAATCCCGTAGGSTATGTGCCAACTACTGCTGGAGAAATAATTAGCTTCACTCCAATTACTGCAAAAGAAATTGAAGATGAGATTGATCATCTTAAGATCTCTAAAGCTTCTGGACCTTTTAGCATTCCTATATCAATCCTTAAACTTGCTAAGCAGCATGTTTCTAAACCACTCATGAAGGTTTTCAACAGCTCCATTACAACAGGTTTAGTTCCTGAATGCTTCAAATTAGCTAAAATTATTCCAATCTTCAAAAAGGGTTCTCGTTTGGTATATAAATAATTATCGACCTATATCTCTATTGTCTAGTTTCAATAAGATCCTTGAAAAACTAGTATATAAAAGATTAAGTTTATTGAAAAAAATGGTATTCTCTTCAGTAAGCAATTTGGCTTTCGATCTAAACATTCCACTACACAGGCAATTATGTTCATTGTTAACAAAATACAAATAGCAATAGAGGAGGGTATGTATTCTTGCTGTATCTTCCTCGACTTGAGTAAAGCTTTTGACACGGTCAATCACAGTCTTCTTATTCAAAAATCAATACGTTATGGCTTTCAAGGTACWGTGCTTAATTGGTTGAAATCATAGTTTTGCATCTATATTAATGACTTTCATTATTCCTCTAAAATACTAGAATTCCATCTCTTTGCGGATGACTCAAACCTCTTCTACAAAAACAAAAGTCTTGAATCTCTAGAGAGAACCATCAATGAACAATTGAACAATGTTCATACATGGCTTTGTGCTAATAAACTCTCTTTAAATATAGACAAATCTAATTTCGTAATCTTCCATCCTTCACAAAAGAAACTTCTACATCAAGTACAAATCTTTATCAACAACACACCTCTAAAAAGGTGAACTCATCAAAGTAATTAGGCGTATTCTTAGATGGGCACCTCAGTTGAAAGCCTCATGTTGAACATGTTTGTTCCAAAATCAAACGCAATATTGGTCTCATATCAAAAGTGCGTCATTTTGTGACCACAACTGTTTTGTCACACATACTATTCGCTAATCTACCCATACCTTATCTATGGGGTAGTGGTATGGGATCACACTTATGATACTACTTTAAATCCTCTATTTATTTTTTCAGAAAAATTAGTTCGTATTATGACCTTTAGCTGTTACGATGCACATACTAATCAACTGTTCTGTAATTTGAAATTACTTTAACTGATATTATTTTCCTTCATACTGCTTATAGAAAGCTTGTACCTTTAAATCTGTTTATTCTTATATTTTAAAATTACAATTGTAAATAGGGTACTAATAATTCAAATTGATTGATTGATTCCATTCACAAAATCCTAAGGACAGGACTTTAGCATGAAGGTGAAAAAAAGCTATAAATACGTTAACTGGACTTAAAAAAATACATAAAAAGGAAGGAATTTTCTTGGGAAAGAAATACTATTTCGTGAAGACAAAGCTCACCATCTATAATTTCCTGAAATATGTGGAAAAAACGAAACAGTAAACATTTTGAACATGTTCAAAAGATCACCATGTTAAAAAAAAATCACTTAGAAATAGGTAAACTTTTTGAAAATGTAAACATGTAAACAAGTTTACCGTTTATAAAGCGTTGCGTTACGTTGATTTGCATTATTATAAGTAATACCATGGCAATGAGGGATATTAGTGATAAAATGTCCCCAAAGCCGAGGGAGGTTTAGTGGAAGGCCCAATCAGTTTATCTTTGAAAAACAGCAGGACGGCTCGATGATGGTCATCTTCAGTAGCGTAGCGAGAGGGGGGGGGGGGGGGGGACGGGCCCCCCCCCAAAATTGTTGAAAATAATTTTTTTTGAAAAAAGAATAACAACAAAAAAAAACATTAAACCGAAACGAAAGAGGAAAATAAATTATTACAACCTAAGATGGTTAATAAAATAATGTTTGTTTCTTAAATTTTTGTTTGAGCGTTTATTTGTTTTATTGGGGAGGAGTAATTCTTTTTTATTTTGGATCAATGGCCCCCCAGCTCCTAGGTCCTCGCTACACCCCTGGTAATCTTTAAAGGAAAAGTGTCAGAGACCAACCAAGGCGGCCTTAAAAGAAGAAAGGTAGCAAGAAAGGAAGTGAAACATCTAGAGGATCCATCGAAGGAAAGATCATTCACATTTATCTACAATTTCTATGTGAGTAAATGGTCAGTATTTATCGATCTATGATTAAATGGTAATAGGAATATATTATACAATTGTATATAATATATATTGTATTATTTTGCAGCCCAGAGAATATTCCAGTGCCAGCATTTTATCTACGTCCAAAAGCGAAGTGGAGCTACGGCAGCGAGGTATGGTTTGAAAAAAGTCCCATGGGCCACAATACAATTAGCAAGCGGTTCAAGAAGATGTGTAAAGATGCTGGGCTAGAAGGAAATTTTTCAAATCATTCTGGGCGTGCTACTGGCATTACAAGAATGTACAAAGCTGGCCTATCAGAAAAGCTAATAACGCAAAGAAGTGGCCACCGGTCCGTCGAAGGTGTAAGAACATATCAGCGAGAAGATCCAAATGATATTAATATCGTATCCAATTCACTTATTACAGCAGCTACAGATGAATGCAGCTCCCAAGAAAATAATGTGCAGACCAAGGATCAGATCGATGATGATATCTTGCTAGTGGAAGCTGGTAAAGAGGTGGAAGAAATCGGAGCGACAGCAATTAATTTGGGTGGCATTAATATGCAAGGAGCGAATTTAACCAATTTTAGGATAAACATTAATATTAACAAGTAACGTTCAATTTGAAAAATTAAACATTTATTATTACAATCAGTTCTAAATAAGACGTGTGAAAAATCAATAAAGTGGCTGAATAAACGTTAACTTCTTGCTTTTTGTTTCAAAATGGCTTTGCGCATGCGTGAAGGCTGCCCTTGCACCGAGAAAATTGACATTTGTGTAAAACATTAGATTGCAACAAGTTGGTAATTTTAGTCCATTATAACGCATGCGCAAAGTTTGTCCTAGCATGTAGAGTCCGACTCTAAGACCAATTTCTTTATCCCACATTGAATAAAGCCTGTGGCAGGGTGGTATACCGATGATTACGTTACATGACGGAAAACCTCTCATGAATAACATGAGGGATATTTAGTTTCTGGTCATAGCAAGGGGTTAATCATCTTTTGCAAGTAAGCTCACGATTGCCGATAGTTGGTGAAGTTTTTCTTTACAAGTCGGTGTAGAAATTCAAGTCCAAGATCTGAGATTCACAGTTCAAGATTCAAGGCTCAAGATTCTCAAGACTCAAGAATCAAGATTTCTGAAGTCAAGAGCTGAAGTTGTATCCTCCTCCCCCTGTTGGATTATTCCCTAGGTTTGTCCTACTTCGACAACCTAGGAATATTTCCTTCAAGGGCACTGATTATTAATATTTTTGGTATATTATTTTTTGGTCAAATATGTTC